ATACAGAATCAACTTAAGAACCCCAGGCGTCCCCAAGTCAGCTGCTGCTGAAACTGATCAGCAGCTGATTCCAGGAAGCTGGGGCAGAGCAACTCTGCCTCCGGCTTCCTGTAGTCAGCCCCTGATCAGTTTCAGCAACAGCGGCTGAATCTGGAGCCAGTTCCGAGTTACGTACAAATTCAACTTAAGAACAAACCTATAGTCCCTATCTTGTACATAACCCGGGGACTGCCTGTAACTTGTTTAACTTTGATTCTGGTTGAGAAATTCCCCAGAAGGCAATTCACATCTACGTAAAGACATTTTTCGCTTATTATTGTAACTACTGGCATATGCCTCTACATATTAATTTTATAGTTTTACTTTAATGGGTGTAATTAAAAAAAAATTACATTTTTCTCAAGGAGGAACAGGAGTTTTATTTCCAGTTAGTAAATCAGTTTTTAAAATATCTAGTGTCCTTGACAGCAGGCCCCTTCCTGCAGGGGCACAGATGTCCCCGGACGGAGCCTTGCTACCCCCTATCCCGGGGACAAGCAGGCATAGGAAGATGCTGGCCAAGCCAGGAGCCTGCAGGCAGGAGGGGGGCGACGGGACAGCTCGGCTTTCCTCTGTGCTATGCACACATCGAGACTGGCAGTGGTGGTGTCCCGCTGGAAGAAGACCTATCCCTGCCTGCTGGAGGAGGCGGGGAGGGTGTCGGGGGAGGTGTGTGAGAGCAGCAGATGCCGGTGAGGATGCTGTGGGAATCCCCTCTTCTTCTTTCCCTGCCCAGCAGGTTCCCCTAGCAGGGGCTCAGTGTCCTCTGCCTTGCTGTGTTTGCCCAGGAGCGGATGCTGCCCCAAGAGTGTGGGCCTGACCATGTGCTGTGTGCATCGCTGCAGTGTGTGTGTGTCCAGGCCTCCTGCCTCCTTAGTGGTGGCTTGTGGTGGAAGGGTGTTCCATCACGGGGTTGGGACTAAGGCAGGCCTGTGCAGGAACCCTGGGAGCAGGAGCACAAGGATCCTCTCTGGCAGCCTACTGGGGCTGAGTGCTCCGGACTGGTACTCCAGGCGCACCCACATGCATAGGCTTCTGCACAATGTCCAGGTCAAGAAGGCCGAACTGGATATGTCTAGGGACAGTCAATGGAGCTCACCTGATGGGCCTTCCCTGGCTTCGTCCAATCCCTGGGCAACATACTGGGATTTCGGAATAAGTCATCTGTTGTTCTGAATTATTTCATAATAATGGCATTGCTGTGTAGACACTCACTCAGTTATTTCGAAATAATGCTGCTGTGTAGACGTGCCCTAAGACTTTAATAGCCACAGAGCAGAACAACCACAGCATAAGTAAGATTGTCAGTCTAGTTCTTGTGGTCAATAGTAAAATGAAACTTATAATGGATGGATAAGATAGTGTCAGAGTCTGATATTCTCAGGATATTGATAAGGACAGGGGCAAAAATGGAGAAAAAAGTAAGATCTTTGGAACTTTGGTGTTTGCCTCTATTTTTAAGGTGTCAGAATTAATAATACCTTGCCCGACTAACTTCAAATATGGCAGAACAATCTACCTCACTTTTGACTTGCCATGAGGCAGATGTGACTCCATTTTAATGGATTTTAGAGGGCTCATCAAAATTAAATGTATAACAAAAAAGGCCAGATTTGACCCTGCATCTATGTTCTGCTTGGGTGGTGACTTTAATGGAGGAAGGGCATTGGGTAGCCAGTTCCAGGTGTTTGATCTGTGGGCCAGTTTACACTTCTGGGTGAGTTAGAGCAGCCTTGGAACTGCTCTCACTTATACCACTGGTCTATGACCCCGAAGAGAACTCAGTGGGATTTCTTGTGTAAGAGTAATTGCTCACCATTGGGAGTAAGGTCCAGTTTGTCCCAGACACTAGTTAAGTGACTTGTGCAAGGACTCAGTGAGGCAGTGCATGGCTCAACCAGGAAGAGAACTATGACCTCTGAGGTTCTTCTCTAGCCATTCATCTTCATTGCCTCTCAGTGGGGGGATTCTTATGGGCAAGATGTAGATAGCAGATAAGAGGATGGCATAATAAAGGGAAAAAGTAAAATATTGGTGTTTAGTGCTTTGTATTAATGCCTATATTTATGCACTCTGGTTTATGCAGGTGAAGGAGCTATTCAAATCCATGAGTGTTCCCTATTGCTCACTTGAACTAGACCAGACAGGTAAGGTCATTTTGCAGTTGAGTTTTTGGTATGCAAATAACACTTACAGTCTGTAAGCATCACAGTCTTTCCTAACATTTCCTGTGAGTACTTCCTCCTTGGCCGTATCTGCAAACAATGAGATTGCTCTTCTTCCTTGTAGTCTAAAGACAAACTTTTTTTGGGGTCTCTTCCTCATGGAGAGCACAGATGTTCTTGTAAATCAGGCAAAGCATTTCCCCACTTGCATCATCAGAACAACTATAGAGATTAACCTCTGCCTGACATGTTAAAACTAGGGATGTAAGCGACTAGTTGATTACCTGGTTAGCATTACTCTATTGACTTTTAATACATTTAAAAAGCAGAGGTGCAGCATATGGAACCGAGGCACAAGCTGGGAAAGCTGATTCCTGGCTTGTGCTCAGGTCCCCCATCGACTACTCAATTAGCTGATTAAACACAATTTATCATCCCTAGTTAAAACCACAGTACCAAATGGAATTAATTGCCATTGTGTGTTTAATTCCACTATAGTCATGGTCAATTTTCTCTCTAATCTTTTCCATCTATGTGTGGAATAATGTTATGTGGACTAAGGCATGTGCAAATGTGCACCACCAGTAGAAACAAACAAAAAAAACCCTAGCTCTGGGTACTCTGCTAATCAGGTGAGTGGCATTTGAATCTCCCCTGAGTGGCTGCACAAGCGCACAACTTATAGGGAACACTGATTATGGCTGGGATTTACATTATATACTGTTTTTCTTTAAAATGATTTAGCTGTTACGAGAGAAGGTGAGATCGTAATGAACATGGTTTTACGTGTACAGTGCTTCCCAAACACATGAAAGATAAGTTGCTAAATTGAAAGGTGAGGCTACGCTGATGTAATTTACACCTTCATCCACACCTACAGGGCTTGATTGTGATCTCACTTACGGTATCACAGTAATGCCACTCCTCTCACTTCAGTGGGTTATTCTGGGATTACACTGTTGTCATTGAGAGGTGTGTGAAGTTCTTTGTGTGTACATTACCCCCATTGAGATTATCTTTAACTGACCAACTTGTTCATATTGCTGAGGGGCTAGATCAGTTAAAGGCAACTAAGAACAGCGAGTGGGCTGCATTAATGGCCCTCTTTCATCTCAGGCTACTGCGGCTCTCTGCGGTTCCAGCTGCGGCTTACAGACCACCCAGTCTGCTCCCCATCCCCCCATGCTCCTCTCACAGCCTGGTACACTGGAGGCCCGCACTTCCTACTCCTCTCCCTCTTTCCTCACATTTTCAGAATGCCACAAATTGCTTGAGTTGTGCTCCATCCTCGCTATTCCCTCTTGGTTCCCCCCCCCCCCCTCATCATCATAGAATCGTAGGGCTGGAAGAGACTAGCCCCCTGCCCAAAGCAGGATCAATCCCAAGTAAATCATCCCAGCCAGGGCTTTGTCAAGTTGGAACTTAAAAACCTCTAGGGGCGGAGATTCCACCACCTCCCTAGATAACCCATTCCAGTGCTACACTACCCTTCTAGTGAAATAGTTTTTCCTAATGTCCAACCTAGACCTCCTCCACTGTAACTTGAGTCCATTGCTCCTTTTTTTGCCATCTGTCACTAGTGAGAATAGGCTTTCTCCCACCTCTTTGGAACCTCCCTTCAGGAAGCTGAAGGCTGCTATCAAATCCCCCCTTACTCTTCCCTTCTGCAGACTAAGTACACCCATATCCCTCAGCCTCTCCTCGTAGGTCATGTGTTCCAACCCACTAATCATTTTGGTTGCCCTTTGCTGGCCCTTTCTATAATGGGGGGCCCAGAACTGGATGCAGTACTCCAGATGTGGCCTCACCAGTGCTGAAGCAAGGGGAATAATAACTTTTCTAGATCTGCTCGAAATGCTCCTCCTAATGCACCCTAAGGCCTAATAGCCTTCGGTTTACTCATATCCAGATTCTCATCCACTGTTATCCCCTGGTTCTTTTCTGCCAAATTGCTTCTTCCATCCCAAGTGCAGGACTCTGCACTTGTCCTTGTTGAACCTCATCAGATTTCTTTTGGTCCAGTCATCCAATGTGTCTAGGTCACTCTGGACCCTATCCCTACCCTCCCAAGTATCTACCTCTCCCACTAGCTTAGTGTTATCTGCAGACTTGCTGAGGGTGAAATCTGTCTCCTCATGTAGGTCACTAATAAAGATGTTGAACAAATCCGGCCCTAGAACTAATCCTTGGGGCGCTCCTCTTGAAACCAACTGCCAACCAGACATCAAGCTGATGATCACTACCCGTTGGGCCCGACAGTCTAGCCAGCTTTCTATCGACTTTACAGTCCATTTATCCAATTCATGCTTCCGTAAGTTTCTGGCAAGAATCATCACGTCAGTACAGGGATGTGCCTTTAAGACACAGTCCATCTCATAGTATGATTAACATCAGTGTATATTCAGTTACAGGGCGAGGATGTTTCATATTTTCTTTAATATTACAGTGGGTCATATATTCACGTGGTGTAAATTAGCATAGCTCCACTGAAGTAATAACTTCATTAGAGCTCTGCTGATTTACACCAGCTTTGGGAGCGACCTAAATGCCCTCTGTCTCAGAGAAGGATCCAACTGTACTAAATGTGAGATCCAAGACCTGCTTCTGAATGTTGCTCTGAGGAATGTTGCCCTGAGGAATATGCCAGTTTATCTGAGGGAAAATATTGATTCACCAACTCTCTGCATTATTGTAATTGCTATTAATACTGAGTGTGTGCCAGAACAAACACAGGATATGAAAAGCGTTTTTTTTGCTTTGTCATTCATCACTGGAAGTTTGCCCAGTGCTACAAGGGAGTGGCCAAGAAGCTGTGAATATTTGACTAAGTTCTTCTGGTAGATACTTGAGGTAACTGGAGCTGTTTGTATACTATGTGCCTTGTCCAACTAACACATTTGTATCTAATTTAAGAGTATAGTTTTACATGAACATTCCTAAAGTTGTTTAGACTTGTTATAGGAATACAACGTGTGGTTCATTTGTTTTGTGTCCACAGAACTCTGGCTTTTTGTAGGTGTGTGGCTCTCCCTCCTCTCTTCCGGAATGTTTTACTTCAGTACAAATCCTGGCAGGTATTCAAAACCTGTGTCCCAGCATTCCTCAGTATGTATTAGAGATGTAAGTGAGAAATTGAGTAGTTGACTTCTCAATAAGCCTAGGCTTACTGTGTAGTTGAGGTTGACTACTCGTTTCCCCTCCCTCCCTGAGGCAGCAAGGTGGGGGGAAACAGAAGCCGGTGCTGGGGGAAGCCAGCTTAAAGGACGGTTCCCTCCAGCACTGTGGTTATGCGGCCACCTATCCACCCCCCGCGCTGCTGCCTAGAAGCAGTAGCACGGGGATGGTAGGGGAGGCTGCCGTGAAGCAGCTTCTGCTCACAGAAGGCCTAGCCTGGCTGCGAACACAAGCTGCTTTGGCAGCAGCCACTGTCTGCGAGGGGTCCCAGGTCTCTGCTGGGCCTCTCCTTGGGCAGGGGCTGCTGGACCTTGTACAAGCTGGGACTGAGCAATCCCAGTTCAGTCCTGGCTCTCGCCTCCCAGACGCTGCGCCTCTGCTTTTTAAATGTAGCAAGAGCAGGGCGGCTCTTACTACATTTAAAATGCAGAGCCGCAGCAGGGGTAGGTCCCAGGCCCAGCGTGAGTCAGGACTGAACACCTTCCCTTATCGACTAATCATGTAGTCAATACAAATTGCATTGATTACACGGTTAGCCAGTAACTCGCCTCTTAACATGGTTAGTGCAGGCAGCTATCCTGTCCCTTCAGCTCAGGAAGTATTAAACACCACACTCCGAGTCTGTTGAGGCCCTTTCCTAAGGCCACTGTTTATTAATTGCACTGACAATCTATAGCAAACTGCCACATCAAACAGTTCAACCAAAGTCCAGCAGCCGCCCTTCCTTCAACCCAGAGGCTTTCTCACCAGAGCCCCTCTGTGCCTGGCAACATAGATGTGGTTTCTGCTGCGCCTCCTGGATTGAAGTGGTTTCCATTATGCGCAGGGTTTATAGTTTGGTTCAATGGCTCTTAGCCCCCACACTCTACAAATTGTTCCAGAGCCCCTGCCTGACAGCTTTTCCCCAGTCTTCCTATAGACCAGGAATGGCCATTACTGACTCTGAGCCACATACATGACAATCTTTAGATATTCAAGAGCTTGGGTGTGCCTGCCAGGGGTTAGGCAAATGCCCTGCTGGAGGCACCTGCAGGCCTCAAGCCTTCAGTCATGCTTTTGCTGAACCCCTAGCAGGTGTGCCCCATGGGACTGAACTCACAAGACTCCGCCCAATGCTGGGCAAAAGCATTTACCCCACCATCCTGCGCTAATGCAGAAGTCCTTCCCCTGCCCCCAGTCTGGTAGGTGGAGAAGGGGTGATGGGATAGGGAAGGGGATGGGATGCTCCGCAACCCCTACCTTTTAACCATAAGCTGCATGTGGCTTGTGAGCCAGTTTGGCCATCCCTGCACTGTCTTCCTGGGAGTCCCCCTGCCACAGGAGTCAACCTGCTGCTTGGAGTGCTCACTCTCAGTGCAGTGCTTTCAACCTTGGCAGGAATCGAGGACTTACCAGGCACATGCTTCTGATAAGTGCCCCTACCAGACCTAAACTCCTGTTTGCAGAGGGGCTCTGGATCAAACAGGGCTGCCCCTTAAAGTGGCCAACTTCCTGGTTAGAACTGGTTCCTACGCAGTGTTTCCCTGAACTAGAATGTTAAGACTTTTAGATAATAACAATGCCTAGCGCTTGCATAACGCTATGTATTTTCAGAGCACTTGACAGCCATTAACTAATGATTTTTCACCATTTTCATAGGCACCAACTCCAGGGGTGCTCCAGGGATAGAGTGTCTACAGGGGAAAAATAGTGGGTGCTCTGCACCCACCATTGCGCCCCCCCATCAACTTCTCCCCCCAGCTCCTCCCACCTACCATGAATTCGCTGTTCAGTGGTGTGCAGGAAGTGCTGGGAACGGAAGGAGCAGCGTGAGGGCAGGGCACGCTGGGTGGAAAGGGTAGAACAGGGCAAGAAGAGGGGTTCGGGGTGGGTAGAGGATGGATGCGACATTGGGAGAAGGGTTTCAGTGGGGGTAGGGCCTGGGGAGTAGTGGGGGTTAAGCACCTTTTAGGAAATCAGAGTATTATTCCTATGTTATAGAGTAGGAAATGGAAATAGTGAAGTTAAGGCCTAATTTTCAGTAAGTTGATCTGCCTGCATTTGAGTGCACAATTGCATTTCTCCTTTGTGTGCTCACTACAAGATATAAATGCACATATCAGACAGGTGGATGCGTAGTCATGTGTATATATGAGCCAGAATCTGCACGGTGCATCCTGTAGTAAGCAGGTGAAGTATGAGCACAGCTAAATACACAAGTGCACACTGACAACCTTACTGAAAATCAAGCCCCATGTGACTTGACCAAAGTTACAAGGAGATTCAGGAGCAGAGCTGGTCATAGAACCTGTGGTGTGTGTAGACCCTTTTTTAACAAGGTTCAAAAAAGAACTAGATAAATTCATGGAGGTTGGATCTATCAATACTACTTAGCCAGAATGGGTAGGAATGATGTCCTCTGTGAGTCAGGGGCTGGAAATGGGGGAGAGGGATCACTTGATGATTGCTTGTTCCGTTCACTCCCTCTGGGGCATCTGGCATTGGCCAGTCGGAAGACAGGATACTGAGCTGGATGATCTTCTGGTCTGACCCAGGATGGCCATTCTTATGTTTTTATGACCTTGCCTCTCCTCTGCAGTTTGTGCTGAGTCAGATCATAAATCATCAAGATTGCCTGGATTGGAGAACGTGAGCTTGTTTCTGCTAATTTGTTATACAGAGAGGGAGAAGCGGGGCCACAGCAGCTGGAGAGCTCTGTCCTGAGGGAGCCCCAGTGGGCTGGAGCCCAAGCCCAGTGGCAGTGGGGCTGGAGCGGAGCCAGTCACAGGGAGGGAGAGCATCCTGGGTGGCCGGGACAAGAGACCTCCGCATATCTGGCAAAGTCCCTCATTTGGGACGGGTCAGGTCCTGAGGGTGCTGGATAAGGGAGGTCCAACCTGTAGTTGGCTCTCCATCTGGGCAGATTTTTTCAAATAAGAAATGTCTGGGGATTAGCGGAGCAAGCACTGCAGTTCAGAAAGAGCTGTCTCCACACTCCGTTAGACGCTGCATGTGCAGCTGTGGAATCCCACCGAGCTCACCCCGGCCTGCCAGGTAAGCAGAGTTGCCCCGTGCCTCTTAGCCATGTCACCTGCTTCGTGGCTGCAGAGGTGACAGGCCCAGGCCAAGGGGACAGCCACACCCTTGGGCCTGTACCAGCTGGCTTGCCACTGTGATGGGGAGTACAACATTGATTCCCACCTTGAGTGTTAGGCTGCAGGTATGCCCTTCCGGCACTGCCTAGCAACCTCCTCCAGCACCTTCAAAAACTC